GCACTTGTGACGAGGGAGCATGGAGCCGGCTTCCCGGCCAATCAGGAAGCCAGGCAGCGTGTAATGACTCACTGCCCGGCTTCCTGATTGGTCAGGAAGCTGGCCAATCAGGAAGCCGTCACCTCATGACGAGGAAGCATGGAGCCACTTCACGGCCAATCAGGAAGCCGGGCAGCTAGTCATTACATGGCGCCCGGCTTCCTGATTGGCCAGAAAGCCGGCTCCATGCTTTCTCGCCACCCAGTGACCAGAAGCATGGGGACGGCTTCCCTGCTTATCGGGAAGCCAAGTGGTGAGTCATTACACGCCGCCTCGCTTCCTTAATGGGACTTCCGGTATCAGTATTCGGTGTCGGCGAGTAGTGGGAAAAAAAAATAAAATATCGGTACTCATAACCGTAAAACCGCTATCGGTGCATCCCTAGTATAAACGTGTCTATTTTTTGCGCTCAACCTGGGGGCTGAACGAGAAAAAAAAAAATACAACAGATACCTCCATCAATGCATGGGCGAATTTCCCACTGTGTGCATTGTGTATTCAGACAGCGGACGCTGGCAGATTGGCTGCCAGCAACGTTCAGCCGAGAACTTTCCAACCTGCTCTTTTGATCAGCTGATCAAGGGATGCCGGGTGGAAGGGTGCTGACAGTGGCACCCACTGTACGAATTTCGGCTGGTTCATCAGGAGCCAACTGAAATTTGTACCATGTGTACTCTATTTTAGTCTCTCTATTTGTACTGATGAGTACTCTCAGCAGGATTGAAAGTGATGGTAAATCCAAAATTTGGAGTTGTCCCCAGAAAAGGAATTTAGTCCAATGGGCACATTCGATCTAGTGGCAACTTTCTGAGGGGGGATTTCCTTCACATTGGAGCAATTTCCTCTCACTCTTTGTTCTGTGCACACGACAGTAAGTGAAGGAGAATTTTTTCGATGTGGGGTGGAGTGGGGTAATGATTGCCTACTGTATGCAAAACACAAGTTCCCTGTTTACATATACTTTAAAGGAGTCAATATGGAATATCCATCTTTGCAGATGGAAGTCCTCTGTTATTGCATTTTTGCATAATTGCAATGTTTTAAGGCGAACATATTACTATAAACTTAGCCTCACTTATAGTAAGGATGAAATCAGCTATGCCTCTAGCAAAAGGAAGCTTCTGACTCTTGTGAAGGAGGTAGCTGATAATATAAGCAGATTAAGTCATTCCATTTGTTTACCCGACAACCAAACAGATATTCAAATAAGTGCAATCAAATGCATGAAACATAAAAAAATGAAGATGTGTTCTAACCTGTTCTTTTCCATTGTGCTGAGAAAGATGTGCTCCTCGTATCTTTGTCGAGCAGCATTGCCCCCAAAGCCCAAGAAAGTGGCCACGTACACCCTGTACACGTGCTGTGTCTCGTGGGCATCACAGCCAAGGTTGAACTCTGCCAGCAGGTTCTTAGCCATCTCTTCCTGTGGATGAATGGAAAGGTGGACAGTTGTCAAATGGAAAGAGTAAGACGGCTCATGCACAAATCACATGCGGAGCACAGCGGATATAAAAGCCTTTGGAACCCAGAATGCAAATTCCTAGCAACGCCAACACAAAAACAGTTATATGTTTTACTCTTCTCGCCCCCGCTTGCACCAGAGTATCCGGACAATAATGGCACTGCCAATAGATCTCTAACCACCAACAAGTAGCATACATGATTTTTGGCTTTGTTCTCAGGCACAGATATCAGACGTCAGGAGCACTACTTGCCATCACAGTACCAGAGACCTTATAATCATAGGTAGAGGGTACACAATTGTGATTTTCCATTGCCAGCTGGCCTGTAATACTAGTATTCCCCTACAGCAGCGGTTCTCAACCTGTGGGTCGGGACCCCTTCGGGGGTCAAATGACGATTTGCCAGGGGTCGCCTAGGGGCTCTCGGCCGCTGGGAGAGAAACACTTTCTCCCGGAAAGGTCGGGACCTTTCTCTGCTGTTTTTTTTTTTTTTTTTTAAATCAGGGGCCGCCGTAAGTCAGAAAAAAAAAAACCCACAATAGGAATGCATAGCTAGATTCCTATTGGCTATTTCACTTTGCAAAAGCCAATAGCAAACTAGCTATTGCACCCGCCCTCTGATGCTGCCAATCAGCAGAGGGGGACCTGAAGTTCTCCATCAGGTCCCCTTCTAGTGATTGACAGCAGCAGAGGGCGGGTGCAATATGTATTCAAGCAAACAAATATGTAAAACACACCTCTAGCTATGCATTCCATGTTCCCGGTCCGCAGCGGCAGAGATCGGGCAATGTCTCAGTGCCTGTGATTGGCGCTGCGGCGCTGTCAGCTTCCTGGCGGGCTCGGCACGTGGAGCTACGAACACGCCCGAGCCCATCCCTATCAGTGACAATACTGCGGAGTATGTACCTCATACGTTATATAGCCACACACTTTAAATCCAATTCTTCTAGTTCCAGCTGCAGAGCCCGGTCCGGTCTTTGCCTATAGCAGTGGTTCTCAACCTGTGGGTCGCTGTGCTAGGCAAGAGTGCTCCTCAGCTCTCTACTAGCGCAGCAGTGTCAGTTCTCCCCCGACACGCCTCCAGATGTCGCTGCAGCAGCCGCGTCATCCCTAAATTTTACCTTTTGGGGGTCACCACAACTTGTCAAATGTAACCAAGGGGTCCCGGCCCTAGAAAGGTTGAGAACCACTGCCCTACAGCAATGTTATTATCAGGACTGCAGATGCCACTGCAACCTGATCACTGAATGTATTAATGAGTCAGCAATCTGGCTTATTACCAGTGGTCCCGTCGTCTTCCTCAGCTACATGTGGCCAGCCCACAATGCCTGGCCAAACTGGCAAATACTGGATCCTCCCTTCTGGATGAAAAATGCCCCAATAATGGGAATACTTTTGCAGTGTTCAGACATAAATTTAGCATTTTATTTTCTTTGTAAGACTCTACAGGCCAAATTCAGTGACAACATCTCTGACACTATATAGGAGGTAGCAAGACAGAAACGTGTCTACTTGCATGAATCCTTCAACTCCTAAAAAAAGGTTATTTTTCACTGTACGGAGAGCGGACAAGGTAAAATATGATCGCCTGTTTGGACATATCTTTTAAGAATGGGTTCTCTACATTACAGCATGCAAGTTGTAAGGTCAGAGAGATGTTTGCCTAAAGGGTTTTTTTAGCTTATTATTTAAAATGATTGGCTTGTATGGTTTCCTGCATATTTTACCAAGTACACTGCTTTTTTCTTTTTAATCCTTTTGTGCTCCATGACCAAGTTTTTAGACTATTAAATGTTAGTGTGTATTCTTGTTTTTTAGAGATATGACACAAGAACAGTATTAGGGTAAAAAAACATAGCCCAATAAAAGTGGCTACACTGGCTCTGTACTTTTAAATACAACATATACCGATCAGCCATAACATTCTGTCCATAATCAAATAACATTGGATTAGTTACTTATAATGGCGACTGGAAGTGGATTAGATCTATTATGCAGCAAGTGAACATTTTGACCCTGAAGTTGATGTGTTGGAAGCAGAAAAAATGGGCAAGTGTAAGGATTTGAGCCACTGTGACAAGAGACAAATTGTGATGTCTAGACGACTGTGTCAGAGCAACTCCAAAACTGCGGGATGTTTCCAATCTGCAGAGGTCATGGAGCAAAAGTGGTCCATGGAAGGAAAACCAGCGAACCGGTGACAAGGTCATGGGCAGCCATTGGTGCACGGGGGGAGCGAAGACTGGCCCCATGTATTCCGATCCAATAGAAGAGCTACTATAGCTTAAATTGCTAAAAAAGTGAATGGTGGTTCCGATAGAAAGATGTCTGAACACACAGTGCATCACAGTTTGTTGTGTATGGGGCTGTGTAGCTCATGCTGACCTGTGTCCACTGCCAAAAGCACCTACAATGGACACATGAGCATTAGAACTGGACCACAGAGCAATGGAATAAGGTGGCCTGAGGAATCACACTTTATTTTGCATCAAGTGGATGGTGGGGTGCATGCATGTCGCATACCTGGGGAAGAGAGGGCACTCTTGGGTCATGCCATTCATGTGGATATTACTTTGACACATACCACCTACCTAAACATTGTTGCTGACCAAGTACACCCCGTCATGGCAATGGTATTCTCTGATGGGAGGATAATGCAACCTGCCACACTGCAAAGATGGGTAAATGGTTTGAGGAACACAAAAACGAGTTTGAGGTGTTGACTTGGAGGCCCCACCTTGCAACCTACAGGACTTAAAAGGATCTGCTACTGATGGCTTGATGCTAGATACCACAGCATACCTTCAGAGGTCTAGTGGAGTCCATGTCTCAACAATTCAGGGATGTTTTTGTGGCAAAAAGGGGACCTACTCAATATTAGGTGGATGCTCATAATGTTATGGCTGATCGGTGTATATAAAAAGAGTGCTGATAAGTGGGGAGGTGGGGGTTGCACTAACCAATAAGTTACAGTGAGCCTGTCATGGGAGCTGCCATTCTGTTACTGATTCTTATTGAAAGTGCAATCATTGGACTGTCACCCTCATTATTTCTTCAGTACTACTGATACATGTATAAACAATAATCATTCCTTGGGGAACATCAGTGGAGTGTTTCCAGATTTATATAGTAGAAGTATAGCACTGCATCGGCCACAACAGTCACCTCAAGGGGTTGGGCCTATCAGGAGGGGATGGGCCTTCACATCTGTACAACTTCTACATTTAGATTAAATGCCAAATGCCACAGGACATTTCATCCTCATGCAAGTTGTATTAAAATGCAGCATGTTCATACAGGCTACTAGTAAGTCATTGATCTACAAACACCTGACTTGCACACTTATTAGAGTAGGGATGCAAGGATAAGGATCACAACCCCATAGTTTGCACCTTAAACAAGTCAGCAATAGCAGCTCCCTACTGTTCCGCTTTAGGTCATTTGAAACAGGACACTGTCTTTAAAATACACCCGTCATCAATAAGGTATAGGTGATGCCATTGTTGGCCTCCTAAAAATTCTAATGGCATGGCTAAGTCTGTTGTCTATACTTTTGAGTCAAAGACCCAGGACAAGCATGCAGTAAAATGAGTGAAACATTAGATATTCTTATTGCTATACTTGTTCCAGTCAGTAACTCAGACTACTGGAATCAGAATATCAATACGACAGCCAAGCAGTTAATAGTCTTAGAAGGAGAGGTCATTACTATCATGCCATATATTTCTCTCATAACAGGTTTATTTTAAAATAAAGAGCAAAGAGATTATGGCTCCAGCAATTTGGGGTAAAGACCATACCACAGATAATAAATGGTCAGTAAACCAAGAACTTAATTGCAGTGTCCGGGATGTGATTCCATGTGCTCAGCACAACAGAGTCTCGCTGTGTTAATGTTACCTTTATTCCTTCCTGAGACTTGATCAATTGCCAACATCAAAAATACCGGTTTTCTTCTTCAGGCTATGTATTTTAATGAAAGCTACACTCCTTGCATAAGGTAATGCAGCTGCAGTGCAGTACCTAGGGCAGGCTTTACAGGATTATGGCTACGAAGCTACACAGCTCTGGAATCTGCTGACGTGTGCAGAGTCTTGTGTATTATGGGAAACTTTAATGAGAGAAAGAACATGATTTTTGTAGCGACAGTACAATTTGTTTCTTGAAGTTCATTAAGGGACACGGGATTCATTTATTCTAAAACAACTGGGTTCTACTGCCCCTTTAGGAGTTCTACTGCCCCTTTAGGTTTGGACACTGAAAAGCAAAATAAACATTAAGCCAGCCCTCGTATAACCCTGATGGTTAGAACCTTCATGTTTCAGTTTTGTGAGAAAGCAATATATAAGGCCAATAACAGAGAGGGGCAGGACTTGTGTTGATTGAAGAAGTCCACCTTCCAGTGTTCCATATCTGGTATGCACACGGCAGCAAGCATGGAACATGAAGTTGGACCTAAGTCAGAATCCGATCCACTTCTCTTTGAGCTGCAAATTCCTCCCTGGTGGTTGATTTAAGTCTGATTGAATCCTAGTTGGAGGACTATGAAGACTAGAGGTCCAGCGTAGAATAGAATATTGATCGGGAGACAAGCATCCTACAATGACCAGGTCCTTGTACCAAGAGGGTACCTAGGTATTCTCTCTACTCTGGTAGGCTAGAACCTTCCAACCCATTGGGAGGAAGGATTTTCCTGATTCCAGCACCAAACTTGTAGTTACCATTCCAGGGCAAGCCTGGCCCTGCTGGTTAGGCGGATGACAGGGTTTGTTAGATGTTGGCGGACGAAGCCCGAGTCAATTGTTCCCTCAAAAGGAAGGTCATCCAGATAATATCCCACTATGAGGATGCTCCGAGAGTGAATTAGAGCAAAAACAGGGGCTTACACCTTGGTAAAGACCCATGATGCAGTGGACAGGCCAAAGGGAAGGGCAACAAATTGGTAATGTTGTGTGCCCAC